CTAGCACTCTGGAAGGCCAAGGTGGGAAGATTGCTTGAGCTCAGGAGTTCAAGATCACCCTGAGCAAGAGTGAGACCCCATCTCTACTAAAAATAGAAAAAAATTAGCCAGGCAACTAAAAAAATAGAAAAAATTAGCTGGGCGTGGTGGCATGTGCCTGTAGTCCCAGCTACCTGAGTGGCTGAGGCAGGAGGATCCCTGGAGCCCAGGAGTTTGAGGTTGCTGTGAGCTAGGCTAACGCCATGGCACTCTAGCCTGGGCAACAAGTGAGACTGGCTCAAAAAGAAAAAAAAAGAAAAATATTTATAAAGAACATTTACTAATTTTACCAAAGAAATGACCAACTCTTGAGATATTATCCCTTATACTTAAGAATTCATTATGTGATTGCTCTATTTCATTACATGGCATTATGGCCAAAATTAAAGAAAAAAAACCTAAAGTTAATTTTTAAAATTTTCTGGATTTTTGAGGATACAGATAAATTAGGTTTTCACAACATTATCTCTCTGAAATTTCATTAGGTCTCAAAGTCCAATAGCCTAGGATGTGCTAGTGGAATCTAGTAGTAGAAATTGATACATCACATTTTTTTTTTCTGACACATTTTCCTGTGCTGGATGAATAGGATGCCCAAAGCACTGGCTTAACCTGGCTTCCAAGGTGCTGGTTCAAGTTGCACAGTATCATCAGAAATCCAGGGCCTCCAATGCATTTCTTTGCTGTTATCACTTACACAGGGAGATCATGAGAGCTCATGGTGGTTTTATCAATTATGATGCTTCTAGTTATAAGTATCAGAAAATTCAGGATTGTTTAAACCAAAAAGTTTTTTAGTTCATATAAATGATAAGATACAGATAGGGTAAGACTTGGGCCTGGGTGAGACCGGGGACCTTTATATTGCTTTTCTTTAATTTTCTTACCTCTGCCCTTTTATGTGAACTTTAGTCTTCAGCTTGTTCACAAGATGGCAGTATCACTTGCTTTTTTGTTCACAGCCGAGGGAAGAAAGCCTCTGTCTCAGTTTATTATGTATACTTCTGGCTCCCCAAAATGCATAGGATCTCTGGCCCTCCAATCTCCACTCAAGACTGAAACTAACCAAGACAACAGAGGAAATCCCTGGATCCTACAAACAGACTTGTCTACGCCTAGTGACAAGCAATAGCAGGCTACCCTGGGTAAAGGGAAGAACGTGGGCAGATAACCCTGCAGCACGGGTGCACATGTATGACCAAAAGCTAAGGGTTGAACAGGACATTGAGAAAAATCCTCTAATACTCCAGCTCCCAGTCTAAGCACAAGGTAACACTAGAGAAATTTGAAGCCAGTGCTACCCTTAAGATAAATATTGCAACAACAAAACTCAATTCCTGACTAGATCAATTCAATTCTCCACCCTAACATCCTAGCTGAACAGATATGTCCAATTCCAGGAGAAAAATACTATTTACTTCAGTCTCTACTATTCTATATATGTTATTAATATCTGGCATTTGATTTTTTAAAAATACAAGATTAACCATTTGCCAAGAGACGGCACACCAATTAATAAAATCACACTTAGAGGTGATCATATTTTGGAATTACCAGACAGGAAATTTTACATAACTGATTGATGTGCTTAAAGGCTCCACTGAAAAGGGCGGACAACATGCATGAACAGATGGAGGACTTCAGTGGAATTTAGTAGTCAAATGGGAAATGCTAGAAAAGAAAATTTATCATAATGGTTTAGCTTTTATCAGAATGCTTTTGAAGAACGAATTGGCTCAACACAGCTGAGAAAAGTGTCAGAGAAGTTGAATTGAAGTTTATATTGAAGACAATATAAATTACCCAAACTAAAACACAGAAAAAGTGTGACGAAAACAAAATAACAATTGGACAACATTGTAAGGTCTAATATTTGCATAATTGGAAGCCCAAGGTGGGGGAGAAGAGAGCAAATGGGAAGAAAAGATATTTAAAGAGGTAATGGCTGAGAATTTTCCAAACATAATAAAAGATTTCACCCAGATCCAAGAACTTGAGAATACCAAAGCAGGATTTAAAAAAGAAAAAAAAGCTAGGCACATCATTGACAAACAGCTCAAAATGGACAATGCAAAGAAAATATTAGTGGCAGACAGAGAAAAAGAATATCTTACAAACAAGAATCAGAGATGAGAAAAAACAGCAGACTTCTCATCAGAAACCATTCAAGCCAGAAAACAATGGAGTCACGTCGTTAACATTTTGAAACAACAATACTGTTAAACAAAAATTATAAGCCCAATGGAAAAAAATCTCTCAGTGTGCAAAATAAAGACTTCATCAAGTGAACAGAAGCTAATAGAATTCACTACTAGCAGACTTGCACTGTAAGAAATATTAAAGGACTTTGTGCAGATAGGAAGAATAGCATACCAAAAACAGATTTGAATATACCAAAACAAAGAACTATGAAAATCATTAAAATGAGTGTAAATATCAAATAATTTTTATTTCACTCACTCTATTAATAAAATACAATTCACTAAGGCAAAAATAGGATTGAGGTTTTATGAGTTTATAGCATATATAAAAGTAAGATGTTTTGTAACAATACAACAAAACAGGGCAGACAAAAATTGGAAATATACTGTTGTATTCTGTGCATGAATTGGCATAATATTACTTGAAGATAGACTGTGAAAAATTATACATATATATTTTAAGCCCTAGAGAAACCATTTAAAAAGTTTTTAAAGTGCTCCATCTCATAAACCAGTAGAGGAGATAAAATGGAATCAGAGGACTTCCAGTTCCAAAATGGCAGCATGGAAGCAAACTGACTTCACTACCCGCCCCCACCAAAAACAAAAATCATGTATACAGCACCAAGATTATCACCAGCAATATCAGACTGAGAACTCAAAAATAAAGTGGACACAGTTCCCACTGTGTCCACAGAAAAGTAAAAAAGCTCCAAGAGAATTGGACTTCCATATCTGCAATGCTCCCTCTTCCCTACTAGTGCCTGCAGAAAATGCACCCCCCCAACACACACACTCATGGTCTCTACACTGGAAAAAGTGAGATCGAGGTGGAAGGAAGCTCAGCAATCTCCAAGATGACGCAGAAAGGTAATTCAGAAATTTATCAGAGAAATTTAACAAAGGGATTAAAATAATAAAATCAAACAGAAATCTTAGAACTGCAAAATACATTTGCTGAACTGAAAATTTCATTAGAGGCACTCAATAGCAGAATGGTTCAAGCAGAGGAAGGAATCAATGAGCTTGAAGATAGGCTATTTGAAAATATGCAACCAGAGGAGAAAAAAAAATAAAAAGTAATAAAGATTGCCTACAAGATCTAGAAAATTACCTCAAAAGACCAAACCTAATCATGCACTTCAAGTAACTAGAAAAGCAAGAACAAACCAAACTCCAAATTAATAGAAGGAAAGAAATAATAAAGATCAGAGCAGAAATAAATGAAATCGAGACTAGAAAAATAACACAGAAGATCAATGAAATGAAAAGTTGGTTTTTTTGAAAAGATAAAATTGACAAATCTTTGGCTACATTAAGAAAAAAACAGAAGACTCGAACAGATAACATCAAATTTAAAAAGACATAACAACTGAGACCACAAAAATACAAAGAATCATTAGAGACTATTATGAATGATAATAAGCCAACAAACTGGAAAACGCAAAAGAAATGAGTAAGTTCCTGGACACAGGTTGGGAATTCCAGACCAGCCTGGGCAACATAGGGAGAACCTGTCTCTACAAAAAATTTAAAAATTAGCCAAGTGTGGTGGCACCTGTCTGTAGTCCTAGCTACTGATAGGCTGAGGCCGGAGGATCACTTGAGCCCAGCTGTTTGAGGTTGCAGTGAGCTATGATCACGCCACTGCACCCCAGCCTGGGTAACAGACCTTGATAAGTAAGTGAAGTTCAAGGTATTTCTCTGTCCTAATCAATGTTTGTATCACCTTTTTTGTAAGTTCTTAGCATATTGGAATGAATAGCTAATTGCCCAAAACACAGTCAAAAGTGGAATGCCTTGTGAAATAAAGGAGGCAAACACTTTACTTCCTTCTCTCCTCGCCTCTCCACCCGGAGACATACACACAGCTTGAACACTAACGATGGAAACTTCTTCCTTCTCTCACAATTCAGTTTCTACACCAACGTGACTGTTCAGCTGTCTTCATTAGCATGTCTTTATTGCAGGATACTCCTGCCCAAGCAAACCGCTTGATTGTTCATTATAGGAACTTCCACAAAGGCCCATCGACTGTTCAACCTCTTCCAACAAAGTATCAACAGATTGTAACTTAAGATTCCTTGCCTGAAAAACCCTTGCTATTTCCAACAATCCTGGACTGTAGTAGTATCACGATCATTACGAAATTAGGATTAGGATCAGGCCTCCTGCATTGAAAGACTCATTCGCCTTAAACCTAACTTCCAGTTTTCAATAAATTCCGACCTTGCCTTGACACTTTGTCAAGGTGCAAAGCTCTGTCGAGGTGGTGTTCTCCCTTTACAGCGTTATAAACTCTTTCTTTTGTCTTGTCACCAGGTTGAATTGGTGGTATTTGGGGAGCTGGCATTGCACACAAGTTTGAGATCCAGTGTTCCTTAACGTTCGGTGTCCCTCCCAGCTCAGCCTAAGTCACTTTTAGGTTTCCCATTTTTAGCCTACCCTTTGCTTCCCCTAAAAATTTTGGTTTTTAACTTATTTTCATAATGCAAGCTTCGCTTTTCTCTTTTATAAGGCCACGCTTTTTTAAATTTGCGATTACTTTCTCATGAGCTTCTAAAAATGAATAAAACAAAAAGGAATCTGACAGCAACTGACTCACATCAAACCCGCGTTAGTCAAAACAAAATCCCCCTCAGCTGGTGGGAAACGCTATCCTTCGAGCATTCTGGGAAATGTGGTCCAGGAGGCGCGAGGCCGCTGAGGCGCTTCCGCTTGGGGATTCTGGGAAGTGGAGTTTAATAACTGCGTGCAGGCGGAGGCACTTCCGCTCCAGGAAGGCGAGGTCGGATCCGAGATTGCTCCCGGGGCGGTGAGTCAGCCCCGGGTCCCCAGGACTTCTGCGAGCCTCTCGGCCTGGGCGTGGGGCCAGCGGTGACCTGGTCCTTGGCTTGGGTAAGAGAAGCCGCGGCCAGCGATGGAGGGCGGGGTTGGGAGGCGGCGGGAGTTTGCGTTCCCTCGGCGGAACCTGCCGCGTTGGGGGCGGGCTCGCGTCGTGCTTAGAGTTTGAGGGTCTCCCGCGCTCTCCGGTGCCCCAACCCTCCTCCCGGGCACACCAGCCGGCTCTGTTTCCTCCTCTCTGTGAAATATTGGGCAAGTTACTTAATCTCTCCTTGTCTTCGTTTCCTCATGGCTGTAAAATGTTAGTGCGTTCCCAATGATGTTCTTATGAGAATTAAATGAGGTTTTTAGGAAAATGTATATATAGCTGAAAAACAGTAACTGGTGCATAGTAAAATGTTGGATGCTACCGTTAATTCTGTGGTAGTGCTGAAAGAGGCACCTGTTGTTTGGAAGCTCCTCTGAGCTCAGGAGGGGGTCGGAGCTCCCGCCGCAGAGCCGCTGCCTCTTCTCTGGTATTTGCCTGATGGGGGGCTATACCTGGAGTCCTGGACTTTTCTAGCCTAGAAGATAAGTAGAAATGCCAGAATTTGAAGCCAGGCATTTTGGCTGCATTCCGTTACCCTGTCTACCTCTCACTTCCTCTGATACACAGGCTTGGAAGGAATACTCAGGGAGCTATGAGAAGCATTTGGGTTAGGACTGTTATATGGATTGTTCAGGAACAAAGCAGTTGGCCCAGGGGGCCCCAGTGGTAGCTGGAATCCAGCTCCTGTTCTCACTAACCTGTTGCAGCTGTGTCCGCCTAGAGACGGGGACACCTCTTTCTGTTCACATGAAGTACCGTGTGGACGCATGGCATTCTTAGCCTGTCTCATGATGTCTTTCCCTTCCCCAGTGCGCCTTCCCAGAACTCTGCCTTTTCCCAGAAGGAAGAGGAGAAAAATGACCAAGTTCCAGGTAAGTTTGGTTTGCCATTCTGTTCCTTAAAATGACATCTCGTTTCACAAAGACTGGACACGTTTTTCTCTTGCTTGTCAAGGGTAAAAGGGAAACAAATGCACCTGAGAGATTGTTATATGCCAGGTTCTTGCCTTTTACTTCCAAATAATAGTATTTAAAATATCAGGTCTTGTAAAAATGGAAAACAATTCCCACATTATAAACATGCTTACAAATCATTTTTCCACATTCTTTTTCATTTGTATTCAGAGGTATACGTTCGTAATCATACTTTGGGTACAATTTTGAATTTTTAAAGTTTAATTTTATATCACCTACATTTTAAATGGTTACATCATTTTCTGTAGTTTACCTTATTTTGTTTTTCCTTATTTTTCATATTTATGTGGTCTGTGAATTTTGCCATTTTAAAGGCTTTGGCAATGACTGTGTTCCTACATAAAACTTTTCTTCCCAAATAGGGATTCCGAGGATTCTGCCATTTTTTTATTTTTTGAGATAGAGTCTTGCTCTTTTGTCTGGGCTAGAGTGCAGTGGCATCATCATAGCTCACTGCAGCCTCAAACTCCTGAGCTCAAGCAATCCTCCTGCTGTAGCCTCCCGAGTAGCTGCACTACATGTGTGTGCCACCATGCCCGGCTAATGTTTAATTTTTTGTAGAGACAGGGTCTCGCTCTTGCTCAGTCTGGTCTCGAACTCCTGGCCTCAAGCAGTCCCCCCGTCTCAGCCTCCCAAAGTGCTAGGATTACAGGCATGAGCCACTGTGCCCAGCCACCATTTTTTTTTTTGTCCTTAAAGTTTTAGAGACTCAATTGTTTTCTCATACGTGGTGCCTCATTTTATATGGGTTGGTGCGTTAGGATCTGATCCAAAACTAAGAGGAAATAATTTTAGTTGTTTCAAATGAGAAGAGTTAGATTTTTTTTCTTTAATTCTAAGATAAACCATGTATTATAGTTTAAGTATCTGTTTTATTCATTAACATGTTAGCATATTTTTAAAAAGTACATACTTAGTTTAAAAGCCTAATAGTACTAGGGGATTTACCAGGCATTTACCCAATGGAACAGCTTTGTGAGGATGTAGATGGTCTTACCTGTATTTTAAACATAAAGAGACGGGTTTGTGAACCTTCAGATACCTATCAAAGTGCACTCAGTGCCCAGCTGACACTAAAATTTCCAGTGCCTAAGTCAGAAATTTTAGGTGTTCCATTTGGATGAAGAAGAGACTCCAAAGAAGAGTTCTCCATTCAGGGACCTGAGGCCACATTAGATGTGTGCTTGTCCTGGTGGATAAAGGGCTCCAAAAATAACATTGCTCACCTGAGTCCCTTTCTTAGTGCCTGGCTGTCAGCTAGATGCATCATCTGGTTGTTTAATACATAGATCAACAAATGCAGGAATGAGCCAAGTCTTTAGATAAAAAATTTTAATTTCCATATAGAAAAACACCATTTACAAAGTTACGAGACAAAGAAGAAATGGGAACTTATACATGCTAGAAAAAAGTTTAATCTTAATGGGAATCTTCCTGATGCATAAGATACAATGATTGAGCAAAGAAAGTCAGTGGACAATACGTGAAAAAAAATCAAAAGATCTTTTTTTAAAAATTAAATACATGGAAATTTTTAAAAACAGTCCCCCCACCCCCCACTTTTTTTTTAAACACTTATGAACTTACCCAAGATTTAAAAAATAAGATAATGTCCAGTTTTAGCCAGAGTGTGGAAAAACAGGAACACTTATGATCTCTTACAGGAACAGTTAATTGAGAAAATTACCCTTATACTAGTAAAATAAAGGTGCATATTTTTTGACAATGCAATTACCACTTCTTAGAACTTATCCTAAGGAAATACCCAGACAAGTTGGCTGAGATCTATGTAGAAATATGTTTTTGGCAGCATTGTTTATAATTTTAAAATTTAAAACTATTGAATTATGCATTGTTTGGAATGATTAAATACATTACAGATCATCACGTTCATGGAGTACTATGCAGCCATGAATGGGATGAACTAGATGGTGATGATAATAGTAATGGCCGACATTTATTGATAACTTACTATAGGTCAGACGCTGTCCTAAAATCTTACATATATTCACTTATTTAATTCCTTCAAGGACTCTATAATGCAGGTCCTGTTATACAGATGTGGAAATTGAGGTACTGAGAAGTTAGGTCACTTGTCCAAGGTCACAAAACTAGTAAAGGACAGAGCCTTGGAATGTGAACTGAGGCAGCCAGTCTCCAGGGCCTGTGCTCCTAACCTGGGCTCTGAATGCTGCTGACAAAAGATCTACTGACAGATAAAGCAGGTTCCTCTAAGTAAGTTCTAGGGACTTAACTATATAAAGGGTACCATGTTATATGTACTCGGTATTTTTCTTTTCCTTTTCCTTTTTCCCCAGTAGCATTTTTGGTGTGATTATGGAAGAAGAAGAATAGGAACTATACTAAAAGTTGTGCAGGTGCCAGTGGCCACTGGGTATAAGACTGAGGTTACGTGTGCTTGCTGTTGCAGGAGGCAGTGACATTCAAGGACGTGGCTGTGGCCTTCACCGAGGAGGAGCTGGGGCTGCTGGACTCTGCTCAGAGGAAGCTGTACCGAGAAGTGATGCTGGAGAACTTCAGGAACCTGGTCTCAGTGGGTGAGGACAGGTGCCCCCTGTCATTTGGCAGGCTTTCTCAACCTCCACTCCACTGACATTTTGGGCCATATAATTATTTGTGGTAGGGGGCTATCCTGTGCGTTTTAAGATGTTTCGGGGGGAGGGGGGACGGGTATTTTCATACACAAAGAGTGCA